ACGAAGCTGAGAAAATGAGTATACTGACCCATTGATGTAGGTTTTCTTTATACACTTCTTCTTATTGAGCCATCCTCTTTTCTGGTCATCAGGACGTCTAGATGTGAAATACTAGAGTATTCTTCTTTCTCAATAGTAAAATTTATTGCAGGATGAACCTCGTCAAATTTATCCAGGATGTTCTTTGCTTCCTCCTCATTTTTCATAATCACAAATGTATCATCCATGTACCGACAATAGAATTTAAGTTCATCAATTACATCTTTCAAAGGCACATTCTCTAGTTTCGCAAGGAAAATGTCAGGTTGAATGGGTCTAGTGGTGACCCTATCGCCACACCATCGATTTGTCTATAGACTTCCTTATTAAATAAAAAGTGGACATTCATTGTGCATTTCAAGAGAATCTCTTTCATAAAAGATATAGGAATGCCAACATCGATGTTTCATCTTTTGAGTTCTTCACATACAAAGTCCACTGTTTCCATAAGTGGTACATTGGTGAATGAGGAAGATACGTCAACAAATGATATCATGAATTTATTGTCAACATTTAAATCTTTTATCCTTCCAACAAATCCAAAAGTATCCTTTACACTGTGTTTCACCAACTCGGTATGAAGAGGCTGTAAGAGTTCGACTAACCATTTGGCTACAGGATGGTATGGTGAATTTAACATATCTAATATTGGTAAAACTGGTACACCATTTTTATGCACTTTAAGCGAGCCATATAAATCTTGGTGTGAACGTTCCAGTGGGTTTCAGTGATGTATACTGACTCTGTGAGATGAAGCCTTGTTGTTTCAGTTTTTCCATTGTTTCAGCTAACTGTTTCTCTATCTTTTCAATCGGATCCAGAGAAGAGGAGATTTTTTGGAATTTTAGATTATCAGTAAGAATTGTATTCAATTTTTTATAATATAAAGTCCAGAGACTGTATAAAGTTCACTTTCTAGAAATTATTAGAACTTCAGAGGATATTTTATTGAAGAAAAAAAACGAATCCTCATTTCATTTCGTAATTACGAACACATGAATCACTACTGAAGATTGACAGCGAAAAGGTCTAAGATTATTGTCAGTCAGTAACAAAGTAAGCCAAAGTGTATGATTAATAAGTGTGCTTGTAGAAGTGAGAATAATTTTACGCAATCAGCCCTGTCGATAACTAATTAGTTAAGTGATGAAAATAAACCAGAAACCTGTATACATAAGACTGCAATTCAAGGACGATATACCTAAAGAAATAATTACAAAGAAGTTAAGAAAATCAGTTCAAAGAACTTTAAATTCTGTCAAACTACAAGTCTTATTTTCTACACGACCGACGGTGAATCCCCAGGTGAAGGATGAAGTACCCAATCCAATGGTCCATGGTCCCAGTGGCTTAATGGTATACGAGCTCGCCTTGTAACCAGAAGGTCCTGGGTTCGAATCCTGGTGGGTGCATACTGCTGAAGAGTTCCAAACTGGGACGAAACAGCTGTCCAGTACTCCCAGGTCTTCCAATGGTTCTCTAACTAATATATTCATGAATTTGTATTACTATCATTATTATCTTTCATAATTTGTCTGTCTAATATTCAGTAAGTAGTGTTATTTGTTGATGATCTCTCATTTGAATGCTTCTCTTTGTGGTGATTGTTTGATGGGTGACATTGATGTGTCATTTTACGGCTGCGATTTCGTTTGAGTGAATGAATGTGATTCTGACATTGTACTGTGTGTGTGTGTGTGGGAAGCGTTGGTGTGTGATTCTGACTGACACAGTTTTACTTCCACCTTGTTGAAAATATTCTACTTAATAGTCAAGTACTTCTCAAGGTTGATTTGGTTAGACAGTTTAGTTATACAATGCTTATTTTGCAACTGAGATGGAATTCAATCAGTATGAAAGCTGGCTAACAGCATTGTTGAGGGATTTTTACTTTTGGATACGTTATTATTGTCTAATAGTACTACAGATTTTATCTGAAATAATTGACTTTTTGCTGTCGTTGGGGCATTTTGTGACTTTGAGTAACTCAAGGAAGTTTCAGCCAGCTATACAGGAGAATGCAAAGATCGGTCTCCTGTGTTGAGACCATAACAAGTGTAGGTTTTATTCGCCACAGAGACCGTTGAGTGATAGTCAGGCGCCAAGCTCCCGAATGAGAAACAACAACCTGGACTTTGGTCCGAGGCTGACATAGAGAAAATCTTGTGCAGAAGGGATGAAAGCCTATTGGCAGTCGTGGGGTCAGCTAAATAGCACTGCAGAGAATGGAGAGCCCTATATTCCAGTCAGCACATGGTCCGGGGTTCGATCCCCCGCACTCCTTTACCTCGCTAAGCCAGAAATAATGCTGGTGAAGAGAAAAGGTTGGGCATGAGGCTAGCAACCCCGTCTTTTAAAATAAACACTGCTACAGAAACTTCAAGCCACTAGCTTGAAGCCCTATGTTCCACTGGGGAACGTGAAGGAGAAAAAATTACTTTTAATTGTCAATAGAATTGGATCGCACGTAAAAAAGTACTGGTCAGATTATTACTACTATCATTATCATTCCCTTGGGTTCCGAGTGGAACATATAGCTTCAACAAAATATCTCCATTTTACCCTGTTCTCTGCAGTCCCTCTTCATTTGGCTCCACGATTCCCATCCATGAGCCTCTCATCTCCTCTTCACCATTGGACTCCAGCCCAACTTGTCGTTTCCCTCAAGGGCATGGAGTGTGCGATGTCATTCAACGGTCTCCTAAGTATTTATCCCATCCATCGCCATTTCCTTTGGGATATTTGTTGAATAACAGATTCTTGATCGGTTCATTCCCATCTGATCTTCAATATGGAGCCAAGGAAGGCAGCTGGCGATAAAGGTCGTTAGCAAGGTGGTTAAATGACTACATGCCACAACATTGTGCTTTGCTAACTAAACTCCTACAACCAATAAGACACTGGTCATATTTCCCTGATTGACCTACAGCGACTCCTTATCAGAAAAACACGTACACTAGTATTCCATTTCAATCTTCGTTTATCTTCAAATGTATCCATTAAACAAAGTGAACATTAACTTTAAGAAATAAAACGTACCCATTAGTAACAAGACAATTTTTCTATTGCACTAAAACAAACGCAGCTACATACCACACGAATTGCCAAGCAAAATCCCTCATTGTCTTATATGTGTATGTATATATATAATTCATAAGTACAATTTCTGCTAAAATTAACACGCATGAAATCAGAAAGTGTCGTACATTATTAACGTGCATGTTCTTTCGAAGAAAAAGAAGAAGGGAAAAAAATCACATTGAAACTATTGAACACAAAAAGAAGAAAAATAGGACAAACAAAATAAAATAAAAACAAATTAAGTGACGAAGAAATAAAAAAAACAACTTTCAAATACATCACGTATCATCGTATTTGGTTGATATTCTGTCACAGTAGTGAGTAGTAGTAATTGGCTTGACTATTCTTCAAGACTGAGACGAACACGCGCTAAACCAACCAACCAGCCACCCACGCAACCACCCATATACACACACACAAACACGGTGACAAAAATACTACAATGTGAATGCACATTCCATGCAGAGTAGTAGTAGTAGTAGTAGTATTACATGTCGATTGAAACATGTGGTACATGTAAAATAGAAGCACAAAAGGCAAAGAAGTTAAACATTTGACAATAGAAATACAATTTTTGAGAAGTACTCACTACATACATACATACATGCATTTTAATAACCCGACCCTCCCCCCCCCCCACCCAAAAAACCGAGGTAAGTGAGGAAGAAAGAAAAAACGAGGAGGAGGGGGGGAAACAATGGGATGAGTGTTACAATTCATAGAATAAGACAACATTTTAACCGCCCCTCCCCCTCCCAACCAATCATCGTCACCGATTCCTCATAACAGCAACCGAATAAAAAAATGCATCAAACATATGACATACTGAGTAAAGTAAACACTAGGTGGGCTGTATGTGTGTATATATGATGAAGAAAAGGGGGTGGTGGCAAGAGTACGATTCTAGAAGGAGGAGGAGGAGCCGGGGGCGGTGGAGCGCATTTGGTGTGAATAGATTACACAGAAAAAATGGGAATGCTGCATATATTACAACAACAACAACAAACAATGTGCATAATTGGGGACAAACACGCACACACACACATACACACCCACGCACACGCGTGGAAATATACACACGCACGCACACATAGGCAACCAAATTGGCATAAAAAGTATTCTTCAAGAGGAAGACACTTCACTTCACTACAAAAAGAACACTTATGAGTAGGGGAGAAACACACAGGTGGGGAGAAGAAGGCGTGACGATAAAACACTTTCATGAGTGTTTCAAGCGAGTTTTACACACAGTGAAATAGAAAAGCAGAGTGGGAGGGGGCGGGATGAAGTTGAGGCATCTCATCTCAAAAGGTGATGATGATAATCTCCGAATAGTTGAAAAAGTGGGAGAAAAGACGAAGGAAGGTGGAAAGTATTTATAATAAGACACGGAATGCTTTTAACTTGCTTGAAATTGTCTATCTCATTGGCCATTACATCATACAAAGGGATATAAATTAATGGGATAAAGGCAGAGACAGAGATGGAGACGGAGCGATACTCATACACTCAGTCACTCATCAGAAGGAGAGGTGTAAGACACATACACAAAAAATAAGAAGGTAAACAAGTGAGAATGAATTTTTTTCTTTTTGAGCCAATTTGTTCTTGCGCAGAAACGCATAAAATACGAGAGAAATTATATATGTATATATAAGTTGACTACACTTTCTACGCATACATAATAAAAACAACATATACATGGTACAGATGAATTAGATTTATGTTTGAGTGTTTTACAATGGCGTTTTCTGTTACCGTTGTTTTTTTATTAGTATTAATATTATTATTATTATTATTATTATTACTGTGATGCATAAATATTAATTGCCATTTAATGTGTGTCAGTCAACTGTGCATTATTCACACTGACTCAAGTGTTATTTATTCTTTTTATTATTATTATTATTATCACAATCCTCATCATTTCGATCAGAGTGGTCAGAATCCGTTGGAGTATCAAGCGATGCGTCTGCATCAACATCGTTGTTGTCGTCGCCATCGTCGGCATCATCACCATCAGAAGCAGAATCACTGTCAACAGTCTCTGTATTCTTGTTATCACCATCGTCAGTGGGGTAGTTCATGTTTACATGGTCAGGTGATGGTGGTTGTGGTGATGGTGGTATATTAGCATTATCACTTTTAGGCGTTACAGTGGTGCGTTGAATCGGTTTCTTTGGTGTAGGCTGATTTAATACGCGTTTAGGGGACGATTTGACACAGCATTTTGTGGAAGACGATAACACCTCAGGATTTCGATTGGCCGACTGTATGATGAAATAGAATTGTAATGATTGTAAAATAAACAAATAAATAAATAAAAGCATATTATCAGTTTAATTACTAGTATTAATAATGATAAGACAAACAAGGAAGGATACAGTAAATAAGGAAGCATTATCACATTATAACTGCATTTGTATCACCAAAATGACTAGCTAAATACGAGGGAACAGTCTTGTGGACTTTGAGTACATGGACAATATTGTCTTCTTAGATGGAGACGCTGACCACTTTGTTTGGCATGCAATTCGTCAAAAAACGTAAGATGACTATGCAAGACTGGAAACTACACCGATTCTTAGCTTAAAGATGAGGAGTGAAGTGGTACAATGCACTGACCAATTGACGTTAATTCCAGCAACCGCATCAGACTTAATGGACTGATCGATGACGAAATCTTATCAAGGACACAAAAGACTGGTGTATCATTTGCCAACTTACGTCATTTATCACGTAGACTTGAGATCTGGCAATCCACCACAAGACGTGTGCACTGCACAGCGGATCACTCTGTCATCTTTTATAGCTGTGAGACATGGTCATTGAAAGTGGAAGACATGAAAACGCTGGCTAGCTGTCTTTGATCATAGATAGTTGTCTATGTTCTACCTCTCGTTTTAAGTGGTATAATAGGGTGAGCAATATTGAGGTTAGACATCGATCGAGTACTGGATAAGGAGGAAGAGACAGTCGATGAAGCTGAGAACTTACATTGATTGATATGGTAAGGACATACGCTACGCATTCCCAGCTATCACCACCTCCCTCAACGGTCAATGTTAGCTGACATACAATGGATCATGTTGGAAAAGAGTTAGCTAGTGGTGGTCGAACCAAAACATGGACAACAGTCAGTTTAAGCCAACCAGTCATTCATGCTGGGAGGTATAGACAAACTGACTGATTGGGGTCCTCAGGATGGTAAAAACCAATGAAGGTTGGAGACAACTAAATGAACTGTTGAATAACTTCCTCTTACTGTGTGACTGGCGAGCTACAGACGCACACCTAAAGGGAGACAGCCGTGTAATATTATCAACTCCTACATAATAGGTGTGTTTACAAAATGCCTATAACGATAGTATTTTAGAAGGTAAACAGAAATAATATTTTAGAAAGTTACAACTGTTGTGATGTAATTCTTATAGTGACGGCCGCAGTCTGGTATTTTAGATATCGATATGTGATAAACTAAAGACTACATCATTTCTTGCGATAGTTACACAGTGTGGTTCGACCTGATGATGAATACACCACTAATTGTGCTGTGCAGAGCTCATAACTCAGAAACCAAAGCTAAGATAAACAGCGTCGGTGGCATAGCGGTTAGGACGCTCGCCGACCATGCATATTGTCCAGGGTTGGATCCCCGGCCGACGCACTCCTTTACCTCGCTAAGCCAGAAATAATGCTGGTGAAGAGGAAAGGTTGGGCATAAGGCTAACAACCCCATCCTGTATAAATACAATATGCTACAGAAACTTCAAGCCTCTAGCTTGAAGCCCTATGTTCCACTGGGAACGTGAAGGAATAAAAAAACATAAAACTTAATTTCAATCAATATTCTGATAAGCTATCTATCAAATTATACCTGAGAGATGAAACATATATGAATGTATACTTGTCTATATATGCCTTCAGATTAATAAAATATCTCACGGACTGACTACTTACAGCATAGAACTTTCGACAGAAGTGCACTATACTTCCAGTTGCCACACCGCATGTATCACACAAAGGAAGACAAAAGAGAGGGAAAAAACATATTCACTAGAACGATAATAACCAGAAATCTAAAGGAGAAGGAACAGTAACGAGGAGAAAACAATATGGATATAGGAGGTCATACAGGGAAGCCTCAGGATGGTCGGGGGTGGGTGCCTTGCCCTGCGGGTTGGCCACCCCTCCGCACACCTCTTAAAATGCTCCCATATGACCAGGCGTCTTACATAGCCTCTCCTGAAGAAGTCCTACTCACTGCCTTCACATGGCGGAGGTGTTTTTCACCAAAGTGAGAGGGCGAAAGCGGATGCCCGGCGCTCTTCACCGGGTTGACTGTCCATTGGATGACAGTCTAGGGGAGATGGCTAAACCCTGATTCCAAACCTCCAACGACTGGCGTATGAAGCTCACTGGAGCTCACCGGCAGACGTATGGACAAAGGGCTTGTTGGAGGTCCTGGATGTCTGGCCCCATTCAAAAAGGCGTATGAACCGAACTCCGGTCACCGGCTGCCAATGGATAGTGGACTCCCTACTCCACTCCTACTGCCTTGTAGGTCACACTTGGTTGTGTAAAGGCTAGAGCTGCACTCTCAAACAAAAGGCCGAGCTATTCTGGGGACATCACTCGTACCAAATTCCCATGAAACTTCATGAACTCGTTCATGAAGCCGGCTGATCCTCCCGTAGGAGATAGCCGAAGTAAAGTAAAAGTAAGGTATACAGGGTGAATGTACCTGAACCACTCTCTACTCAGAACGATTTTGAGCCATATCATCAATTGTCTCAAGTAATTGGTTATTAGAATCCTAACGACCCTACACACCCAGGAAGCTCACACCTTCCTACATCGCTAAAACACCAGTTGTCAAAAATTTCATGGACTGACTGGTTTCAACACAGAACTCTGCACCGATGTGCAGCAGTTCGAGCAATTCGCTACACTTTACTCAGAACAGAAAGCAAGAGAAGAAAGTAAAAAGAAACACAAAATAGAGATAGTAAACAGGGGTGATATGAGGCAAAAAGAATAGTAATATCGAAGAACAATATAGTTTCATTGGAAATTATAAGTCACAAGGAGTGGATGCATCTGCGCTAGACACATCGAGAACAATTCTGAGCCATATCACCAATTGTCTCCAGCCTTCATTGGTTTTTACCGTCCAGAGGACCCCAACCAGGAGGTCTACATCTTCTTACGTGACTTAAACTAACTGTTACGGATTTCATATGACTGATGAAGCCATGTTTTGGTTTGACCATCACTGACTGTTTTCCAACCTGGCTCTATGTCAGATAACATTGTCCGTCGAGGAAGGCGATGATGGACACCTATGTTTAGAGACAGACAACTAACTAGCCTTTTCATAATATATGCATCATATTACTAAAGTGAGATGGTCACAATATATCACATACCATATAAACCAAACGAATCTGTTCAGCAGCCCATCTAGCCAACTGTCGATTCTTTTCTGTATTGGATAGACTTGGTGATATAGCGCTAAATCCACCAGTGCTCTGCTGTTGCTGCTGCTGTTTCAACAATGACTGACTGTTTGTATTCATTCTACTGTGATTACTTTGATGATGATGATGATGAGGGTGATGATTAGCGTTAAGATTCCCGTCAATAATATTTGATGATGCTGATGTATAAGTGTTCGTTGTACATGGTCCATTTTGTTGTTTATTATCTGCTGTTAGTGACAGCATTCCAATTGACTTTGTTAAATGATGATCTAGAGCTGAGCATGTCTGAAAGGCAATGATAACAGAATATATTAGAATTAAGAAAGAGAAAAAAAACTACTGATATGAATTCACTATGTGATAAACAAGGCCTTCAAACTCATCCACCGCAACATACTAACTAATCTTAATTAATTTTGCCTCAAGAGTTCGTCTACTACAAGTTGTTGACGAGGCTGGCTATTGGGATCTACACTAAGAATGTTGGGCTATTAACTGGTTATATTCCTATTTCTCAGAAAGAAAGCAGTACACCGTGTATAAAGGGAATTCTTCCACTTCATTGCCCACTGAAGATGGTGTCCCTCAATGCGCTGTCCTTTCTCCTTTTCTTTTTTCTTTCTTCTTACATGACTTGCCTCACTCTGATGAAATAAACTTTATGAAGTACGCTGACGATTTAACAGTTTCAATGGTTGTTAACTCCCAGCTAGATTGTACCAAAATAAACAGCTTTCTGTCGGGAGTCAGTAAATGGTCTGAGTCTAACGGTCTTAAACTGAATCCTTCTAAATGTCAAACTGTTAATTTCAGCTTAAGATGTAAACGACAGTTAAAAGACGCCGTCGATTCTCATGACAGTTGTAAGATTGACGACAATGATATAGGAATTAAATCAGAAATTAAGTATCTTGGACTTGTTCTGTCTTCTGGTGTCTCCTGGTCTTCCCATGTCTTAGCAATCTCCAGTAAAATATTCCGCCTGACATTTTACATTAAGAAGTTAAGGCACTCGGGTATAACTCAACCCCTCCTCCTCTTACAGTTCATAAACTCTTGCATCCTACCTATTCTTCTTTATTGTTCACCCTTATTCTTTCCTGGTTTGCTTAAAAAGGACTATGTCACAATTCGTAGAATGCTGAAGACTGTCAGTAGGGTGAGTGGTGTCCCAGTGGACCACATAGTTAACGCCGTTGTCGATGGGCACTTGACTTCGTGCAATAAATTTGCTAAAGGGATTTTGTCTGACTTGAAGCATCCACTTTACCCTCAGCTTTCACCTTGCATAGCCTCAGGTAGAACAAGAAGTAACTTCAGAAAACTGTATGCTCGCACGTCTAAGTATAAAAATTCTGTGATACCATACTTGGCACGTATTTTATGTGATGAAAATAGCGTCAGGCAAGAATTGACTAACCTTTTTTCATCTAGTAAATAAAAAATTTCCTCCATCCATGCTTATATACCTTTAAGTTTTACTTTTATTATTTCTATTATATTTATGGTCCTGTTGCTTCTTTGTTTTACTCTCATAATTGCAAACACTAACTTATATCTATGACTGCTGTATTCTCTGTTTTTCCCCTCACCATATCATGTAAAGAGAACATTATATTCAATATTTTTAAACATGCTAGGATTTCTATACCGCATCGACAATACTGTGTGAAACCAGCCCACGGGAATTTTCACTTGTATTATTATTATTATTATTATTATTATTATCCATAATTTGTTGTAGAAATTCCATGAATTTTATGTGATATTCTATTTACTATTATATTTCTAAGCTTTTTATAATTTATAATCTTTTGTGAACTGTAATTCCATTGATCAAACTTAACAAATCGATAGTATTTAAAAAAATCAATATTGTCAAGGACGATTATTCTAGAACGTTCTATGTATATAAATATGCATATATAATTGTAGAGCTAGAAGAGGAAATTATCGGAAAGGATATTCTTTGCCCCAATTTTCTTTCGTCTTCCAAAAGATTATCCATAAATACTCAAGACAGCTGTGTTATCATTGTTTGGGAATGCTCATCACCAGGTTATAAGGCTAACTCCGGGCTAACCATCGGGACGGAATCAAATGGCCCATCAATTCTAACCTTTACACAAATTGGAGATATATATGGTGCGACGTCTAAAGGAAGTCAGTTATTTCGTGATCAAGCTTGAAATCAACCAAATCCATGCAAATCAAAACTTGTTATTAGACAGTTGGAGGCAACTGGTCTCGAGAATTCCCATCCGACCTAGGTTTCGTGCTTGTAGGCACTCATCATTCAGCCAAACATATCTTCAATCGTGAAGGAACGCTCATGTCCCTCGTAAGATTCAAACCCATGTCAACCAGTACTGCAGTCAGAGACGTTACCGCTGAGGAGCTATTCGGGCTCGTGATTGACCTCCTGTAGGACTGTATTGGACACTTTGATTGGATACTAGTTACTAGCCAGTGTCACGCGTCTAATCTTTTGTTTGATGCCAGACTGAATTTTATCAGTCAAGTTTGCAATGTGACTATCACATGCTAGGTGGCTCACCATGCCAGTACACTCTGAATTGTTGTCGACAATGTCCAAAGATTATCATGATGTTATTTGGTGGATGAACATTTCGTCCCATTCGGGACTCATCATCTGGATGTAGTAACAATCACCTTGGTGTTTGTAATGGTGAGTGCTGGGTTAGAATCTTTGTGTGTGGGGATACCATCACTCATTGTAAAACCGAACTTACATCCACAAGCTTACAAGTTCCAGACTGGATATGCAATGTGCATCCTGGATTCCCCAGTTTAGTGACCATCCACCAAATAAAAAAGATGTAAATATTTCTACTTTATTGATTGATTTTAAACCTTATTGCGACACGTCGCCTACAATTTTCAGGTCACAAAGTTGACCTGATCATAGTAAAGTTACTACTGTTGCACTGAAAAATTATTAGTAAAGATGGAATGATGAATGCATACAAGCATCACTGTTGTACACTTGTTTGTCATAAATCAAAAGTGAAATGTGAGATTTATGATTTATGATTGGAAAAAACTATACAGGTCAAACCAGTGTGCTAAGGTGTATGAACAACTTCCAAATATGCCTTTTAGCGACTGACAACTACTTATTATTATTATTGTTCCCTTAAGTTTTTAGTGGAACATAGGGCTTCAACAATACGTTTACATTTCATCCTCTTTTCTGTAGTGGTCATTAGCCGGCTTCACAACTCTCCATGAGATTTCATTTTTCCCTTAAATGATGCCCTGCATATCACCCTCGGAAACACGCCAAACATGCGGTTTCCTATTCGGGTCTCACTCGAGGATCTTGCATGCGATGTCAATCGGCGGTCTCTTCAGTGTGTGTGTGTGTGTCAACGGATGAGGATGTCAACACCGGTATTGTAAAGACAAAGAAGACATTCATCACTCTGAAATCACTTTGGAAATTTTCTCCATTCAGCATAAATAACAAAAAATTCGGCTTTTCAACACCAATATTTAATCTGTCAGCTCCTATATATCGGTTTAGAGACTTGGCTAACACGTCACGAAAAGCATTCCCGACAGGCTACTACAGACTTTCATCAACAGATGTGTTCGCTAGCTCCACATTGAAGATCAAATAGTCAGGAAGGATTAGCAGTAAAAAACTCTAGGGATGAACCGATCAAGAACCAACTGCTCAACAAATATGCAGAAGAAAATGGAAATGGAGTGACATCGTGCACAAGGCCATCACTCGAGTGGAACCTGAATGGGAAACGACGAGTTAGGTGTGAGTCCAAGGGTGACATGGAGGAGATGAACACCCGTGGATCCAGCTAAAGAGGACCGCAGAGAACAGGGCAAAGTAGCGATGTACTATTGAAGCCCTATGTTCCATTCGGAACCGAAGGGAACAATAATAATAATAATAACATGAAGTACAAGCCGGTCACCAACAGACGATGAATTTTTGACGACTACAAACAGCATGATGAGGAAGAGTAAAATAAAATACAAGTTGATAAGAAGCCTCATCAACGGAAGACACTACAATGGTCATAAAAAAAGGCTGAGGTAAAAATTATTGCTGAAATATTAGTAGACCTACCCATTAAGAGTGACAGGTCAATGATGTGTTCTTACAACAGAAAATATAAAACCCTGAATATAGTTTATTTCTGTGAACATTTACACAACTGAACAGAAACCTATCTGTCGTGGGCAAAGTTAAAGTTTAAGCACCACTAACTACCAATCAGCGAACGACTTTCAAGGAGCCAATCATATGGAAGAGACATTTTGGCTATGAGAAAACATATATTTATGAAAAAAAATGCATAAAACGGTTACATAGGGTATCTTTCTCTGACATGTGACAGAACCATCTCCCAGTTTAGCATAGGAGTATCAATGGAGAAGTTACACCACATTCCGTACATATTATCATCCAAATTACCATAAATGAGATCCTTTTGATATCCATTTATAGCCCTAATCCTGTTTTTTAATCTTCCTCAAAAGCCGTCTATAGAATTGGTGTATGTCCCTGTAAGGGGATCCACAAAATCATTAGAATGGTTTACTGTGTGATGAATATATCCAAGCGATGACAGGGAGTTATAACCTTTCCACTCATCGATTTGTATTATAGATCCCTGTTTCACCAGTCGAGTGACAATAGGTATTAAGGTAGTTGACCTTCTGCCTGCTATTCTCTCAACGAATCCTTTTTGTAGGGAGGTGTCAGTTAAGTCGATCACCCGAACATTGTTAGCTCGCTCACGATCATGGTTGTATGCTTTCTTCAATAATACGGTTTCGTCCTTCTAATAACGAAGTAATTCTCTCCATATTTCCATGACCCAGTAACTACAAATATACAAAATCTGGGTTGCGGACAAATGGGACCTAGCAAAAAATGTTCCAACGAAGTATTAGAATCATCAGCTTACCTTCCCTAACATTAACTCATCTCAAACAAACAAATTGCACAACGATGGGCATATCCATCAATCAACCTGCTGAAGCCTTTTGTACTCATAACACCTCCACATGAATAAATCCTCTCTTTACTAATCAACCCCACATCCAAGCAATACTGAAAAACCTTATCTTCACCAAACTGCAAGCATAACTGTGTTACAGCAGGCATTTGACTTGAATCAAGCGGAATAGAACCTTCAATTCATGTAGATGGCAGTCATTGGTCCATTTCAAGGTCATTCGCTGATTGGTAGTTAGTGGTACTTAAAGGTTTAACTTGACCCTGTCGTGTAGAGATACCTAAATCAGGCGCACGCACGCACGCATGCACACACACATACAGACGTATGTATGGAATCCAGTCAGTCAACCACTACGACTTGTTTTCTCATATGAAGAAAAAAATGACAGAAAAAGCTTTACTTACAAGCAGCAGACCGTATAAACTGCGTAAATTATTTGGACATAATAGACAAGCTTGTGTATAATAAGCTCTAGCCAACTCTAGATTTTCTGTACCCCCTTCGGTATATTTAATCTGAAAAAATGAAGAAGTTTGAAAAACAAACAAAAACAACAGATAACAATATATATACATACGTTACATACAATAAAAGTGTTTGTGTGTTGTGCTTATTGGCACGCGCAGTCTAAAACAAACTCAACAAACTTGACATACACACATGTTTAACTTATGAAATTAAGGCAGGCCACAACTCATCTACTGTGTCCTTGCAAATAGTAATCGATCAAAAAAATTTTTAAAAATTAAGACAACTGTGTAAATTAGACTTTGACCTGAAAAGTGAGAAACCGAATTTTGAATAAAGTAGAGCAAGTTAGTTTTCAGAATCAAAGAGCGATGATAATAGTAATAATAATAATTATTATTATCATTATTATTATTATAATAGTTATCAGTTGAGTTAAACATATCAGCTGGGAAAGAGTAAATAATAATACGTTGACTGACATCTTATATGTAAGGCCATCGAGTGGAACATGAATAGAAAACGATAGGTTTGGCATTCGACGGTGACACACAAAGAAGATCATGTAATGGGGAAATCAAAGATTCTGGACAGTTGTGGGGTCATTTATGAAAACAAAACACGTAGATCAGCGAAGAATCTCTTTGGCGAATCCATTTTCTTAGCAAATATATATGTGTTATTTTGTATGTATGCGTACATTAAGTTTGTCAAACAAAAATACAATTGGTTATGGTTATTTTAACTAGACAGGTGAAAATTAGTAAGTTTTGGGTAGAGTTACGTAATACAAAATCGGTCAAGAAAATTGGGTGTTAATGAAACCAGTGTAGTAAAATAAAAAGGTGATGAGTTGTCACAAACAGTTGTCAGAAATGAGTTACGTAATAATATGAGTAGTTTGGTGATTGAGTTTTACTCAGCATGCACATAGGAACAAAGTAGAGAATACGAAATTACGTAAGAGTTCTAAATGAATACAAGAATTATAAGCAATTGAAGAAACAGGCAAAGAAACAAAATTAAGTCATCAAAATCAAAAAAATCAAATCAAAAAAGTTGTTACCAAGATAGTAGAGGTGGTTGAGTAATCCTCTTTTGTATGCACAGCTCCGGTTTTTCCATGTGAATGGCCAGAGTTACAGCGATACAAAGAAGGCGAAACCGTATTGCCTTTGATAGGTTGTTCTTGACTCTGCAGATTACTTTGAAGGAGGCATTTGTTGAAATGGAATGATCAGTGTTAACCAGGTGTTCAATTATCGCACTCTTTATTGCACCACTATTGCCTTTTCGCAACCATGCTGGATAGTATTCTTGAATCCTCTTGCTTATAATTCTTGTATTCATTTAGAACTCTTATGTAATTTCGTATCCTCTACTTTGCTCCTATGTGCATCCTGAGTGAGTACAACCCAATCATCAAACTACTCATATTATTACGTAACTCATTTCTGACAACTGTTTGTGACAACTCATCACCTTTGTTACTTCCCTAATTTCATTAACACCTAATTTTCTTGACTGATTTTGTATTATGTAACTCCAATTACCAATCTTCACCTGTTTAGTCAAAATAACCATAACCAATTGTATTTTTGTTTGATAAACTTAATGTACACATACATACAAAATAACACATATATATTTGCTAAGAAAATGAATTCGCCGAAAAGAGATTCTTCGCTGATCTACGTGTTTTGTTTTCATTAATGCCTGGATGGGGATTATACATGAGTTGTGGAGTCAACTGAAAGTGACAGCAGAGAATTCAGTGTAATGGAGATGTGTTGCTGAAGGATACATCAGGCGAATATCGCGAGAAATCAAAATCTGAAGAAGTGAACACCGCAGAGCCGCATCTGTTCGACCACCGAGAAATAAATCAAGTTGGTGAACTAGAAAAGCTTGAAAAATCATCAGCCATAAGTGGTCTACACGCTATAGAATCAGGCGACAAAATTGATTTCGACAATATTGAAATAGCCCTGAAAAAGTAATTAAGAAATCACAAAGAACGTCTAATATCATCAGAAGCACTTCATATCATCAACTGGAATCCAAATTGTCTCAATAGGACTGAATGATGGACTAATACAGAATTTGACCTGGTTACAACACCCTCTTCCCTCCCCCATGAAATGACAAAATCAACACGAATGTGATAAGCAGTTTCATTATGTAAACACACGCTGCCTCTATAATTTTACACACTTATCAAATTCAACAATCTACACCTGGTTTTGTTATCTTTACCCATTGGCCTATTTGACAAGGCGAAAATGACCCCATGCTGAAGAACGACGATTAAGTTGTTATTTATAAGCTAAGTGGATTTTGTAAATTCTGGTTTAGTAATACTTTGATACAGATATTAGCAGTGAATAGAAAAACGTCAGTAAAAACAACAATATCGATTTGTTTTTCATTCATTGGAAAATACAAAAACCTTTATTATAAGTGCCATAATAAGGAATGTCATGAAGCTGTTAAAAGTGAACTTGGTTTGGATATATGTAATGGAGATATGTTGCGGAAACTATGATGTTTCATTCCGAACGCAAGCAACGAGTCATCATCAACAATTGAAACACCTGTAAAAGTATATATTCAGCTACATTTGCTCAGTGATGAGTGATGTCACCCGGCGGCTCAAAGTTGATAAAAAAATAGAAAGGAAATCAACATTTCCAGTTATTCGTTTATGTCTACGTGAAGCTCTACCAGAATCACAATAATTAAGCAAGGCAACTCTCAATACAAGTTGGTATACAAGATTACGAGATAAATGTTCATGTGATGTAATCAAGTTGTATGAAATGAAGTGGTTTAGAATCACTGTAGGCTCTCATATAAATGCTTGACTAGTAAATAGTTGTCTAGACAATTTTAAATGCGAGCCTCCTAAAAAGATTCTAAAATGTCAAACTGGCTGTTTGGTAAACTGCTGACTCTAGAATTGAAGTTTACTGCTTGAAACTGCGCTGCACAACTGACTGACTGGCTGAGTTACAATAGACAGCTTCGCACAGAAATCCACTACCACTTCAAGTTATCACACTCCATGTAGCAGACAGAGGAAGACAAGAGAGAGAGGAAACAACAGATTCAAAAGAATAATAATGAGCAGAAAAGTACGGAAGAGAGAATAGTTATATGTGGAAACTTGAAGGTTTAGTGGATATGGGCAGCACAAGGGGTGAATCCATCTTCGCCATTGAGAAAGATGTTTAGTCATATCACCAAATATCTCCAGCCATTTGGTTTACAGAATCCCTACCTGGCAGTCGACATCCCTCTACCTCCAACCAACTGTCAAAGACTTCACGGACCGACTCCAGATTTTAGTTTGACCACCCCTGACTCTTCTGACCTAAACCGATCTTAACTGACATTACTTGACGAGGAGTATAGTGGTTCAACATGCACCTCAATCAATCTAACTTCATAACCTGTTCGATCGACTTACCCTCCATTACTTAACACACTACACCTCACCTCAGTATTACTCACCATAATAATAAAGAGATCTGTGATAAAACTCAGCTAGCTGGTATTTTTACGTCTCCCACTTTCAGTGTACATGTCTTGTAGCCATAGAGAAGGAAAGAGTGAACTGATGCGCAGTGTATACTTCTTTTGATCAGTACAGCCGGAGATGACGTGAGTTGGCAAGTAACACGAGAGTCTTTTGTATCCGTGGTGGGATTTCATCATCAATCAGTGCATTAGGGCTAATGGTCAATACGCAGAACCACGTCACTCCTTATCATTAAACTGGGAGTCGATCCAGACTAGTCCTACTGATAGTAACAAAACACATCGCAACCATGCTAAGATTTCTGTTCGAGGTATTCAAAAGACATCCCTGATGGGCATCACTGGTTGTCATTACTTCAGATGATAACTCTACGTAGGCTACTTCAGCTAGAGCAGAGTGCCTTGATCACTGTGATAGACTTTCTAGGCTCTCTTTCCACAGTCAGATATTGTCACAATCACTCCAGACGTCGAAGTCAAATTCCACCTTCAGGTGGAGAAATACGGCAAGTGTTGGACGCCATCAAGCATGCATATGTCTTACAATCACTCGAAGAGTAAAAAATAAAATCAATACACCCGCTTCCTGACCCAAAAAAGCTGATTGCTTTTCTCAGGGTTTGTTTCTTCCCAGCACCTCTTAGTTTATGCAGCAGAAATCCACTGGCATCCAAACTGATTGTCGTAAGGAAGACCGATTCTAGCGGCGGGCTGGAGGGTCGACTGATTGACTGACTGGTTTCAACATAGAATTTTACACAGGCGTGTAGCAGTTCGAGTTGCCACACTCCCTCCATGTAGTACACAAAGCAAGAGAAGAGAGTAAAGAGAAATTCAAGAGATAATAAACAGAAGTGTGACTGGGGGAAAAAGAATAGTAATATGGAAGAACAATAGAATTCTACTGGATATGACCAATCACAAAGAGGGCTCTGAGCACTGACGAGGGACGAAAGCTACTCGACAACAACGGCGCTGTGGACACTGGTAGGCGACGAAAGCCAAACAGACGGAAAAGGCATCAGCGATAAGTGACACCAGACAACTATTTAGGCTTACTGGATTATTGTTTATCTTTAACTCTATAAACACAGACTATAAAAGAAAAAGACAGACAATCAACTCTGAAATCAGCTCTCCTTGTGGTTTTGAACATGATTTTGAGTAGTTTATGAAAAACAAACAGAGAGAGAGAGAGAACTGATCAACTTCAGTCTGTCTAATTGACAGGTAATAAATGTAGTCTTGACAAGTCAACGGGAATATAGAAGAACATTCCATGTAGTAGTTATAACAGCTCATATTATAAGAAACCAAAAATACTTTTTTTTATAAACAGTTAGTAGAGAATTTAATTGAATTTTGGATTTTCCGGTCGATTGATTGGACCGAAGTGCTCGGTCTCAGGTTGACATGTCGGCTTCTTGAGCAGATGCTTCGACGATGTCTGGGCATTTAATTAGTATTTAATTGGTGGATGGTGACTAGCAGTGGAATCCAACCTGAG